GACTATTACGTTGCAACATGGAAATAAAGGGTGGAGGGCCAAAGCAGCTAGCCCCCTCCCATCTCTTGAGACCCTGTTACTGGAACAGGGAGACTTTGAAGAGCTACCTGCTTCTGCTTTCCTCTTTGAGATGTTAACATGCTGCAAGGATCCTTTGATGGGTGGAGAATAATCAAAGGGAAGTTCTAAAGCACACCTATTGTCTCTGTGGTTTGGGTGAGCCAGGATGGACCCCCTCGTGTTTTAACAGCGATTTCAGCCACAAGACCCATTATCTTTGACGACGGTGTATTCCCCCCAGCTCTCCAGTATAAAACTAAGAGATGGGGGCCTCCATTTTGAGTCTTTGCTCCCATTACCTGGAATAGGAAATGTTTCTTTTTCTATCCCCCCCCTACTTTATATTGTTATGCTAAAATAAATTCTTGCTAAAACTTCCACCTGTGAGACTGCTTGTTATTAGACACCATGAAATGCTCTTCAATATTTGTGTATCTCAAGGACCTGTGAGTTTGAGTTGAAACTGGAAAGCTGTGGGATCCCCCTCATTCTCCTCTGGCAATACCCATCATCAAGGAAAAGCAAGGGGAATGCCCTGACATCTGAAGCCTCCCTTCTTTATGGATTCTGTGCTGAGATGGTGTTCGTACCTCAGGGCAAGTGAAAATGAGAAGAAATGAGTGGGTTGTAGACAAAGCCAAGAAAACTACACTGGGCGACACCTTTTTCTGCTTCCTGGCCACCATGATGTGACTATTTCTTGTCTGCCACACCCTCCCTGCCATGATAGACTGACACATCTGAAAGCTACACAGAGGACCTGGTGTCAGAAACTTTGGATAAAGATATGAAAGAGACATGGTTCTGAACTCCAAAAAGTAACATTTTAAAACTTTTTAGAGAAAACTGCATCCCAGAGGCATTCCTGTCAGCCATGTTTAGGATACAAACTGAGCATGCCCAAAAGTGTACCTGTCCACCATTTTAAGGTATTGAACTGTGCGCTATGATTTTGAGCTAAGCATACCCCAAAGTGTGCCCACCATCTTCCCTTCCTGAACTGTGACCTTATACTGAACATAGTCTGGAATGTACCCTTAATTGAGCATTCTCAGGAATGTAGCCATCCCTAAAATGCCCATCTATATGAATATGTATAGTCCCCCCCAAATAAGATGTTCACACTCCCAGTGTTCAGGGAGGGCATGGTTTTAGAAATAACCCCTGGTCTCTCCTTATCTGCTGCTGTTTTTTTAAAAAGGGAAAAATGCTGTGTAATGTTTTTTATCCATTTCCTGTTCAGTCAGGATCTAGTTGAGTCTAAAAAACAGCCTGAGCTCCCAAGGTGAATAGCCCTGCTTTGTTTACCTGAAGTGTGGCCCTAACAAAGGTGAAGAAATCCTTTCTACTGGCATTCTAAGTTCAAGAAATATGGCGTACTGTGGAACCACCAGGGGCAACAATGTCTGCATTGTCCTGGATTACAGGCCTGTGACTTGTTTAGGCAAAGGTGTTCCTTAATTGTAGAAGACAGTCACATATTTGGTGCCACACTTAACATTTTTAGATCATGAATCTGTACTGACATATGTCTTTGTCACATGTGTCTTGTTTATGGATCTACCCTTTGGGTTATCAGCAAAATACTCCCTGGAGATTTTTTTTTCAGAGGAGAAGTCAATTTGAATAGTGTCTAGATGAAAACTAGGATTTGAGAGATTAGTAAGTGGATAGTTGGAATGTTGAGGTACCCAGGTAAAAGTGGTGGGTTGGTTTTATGAATCATATAGATAAGTAGCTTGCCTGTTTCGTAACCCCTGGAATGTTTATGAAATACATATTCTGTTCATCAATTACCTGAATCCTAAAGAGTAGTGTCAGCATTTAAATAAATATCCGCAGGTAAGTAATTGCACCAGTATCACCACCTTCCATGCGAGCCTTAGATCAGTCTTCCTCCACACCTTTTCCTTTCAGAACTGTATTGACATCTGCAAACGTGACAGAAAACTTAAAGGCTTTCATTGACAAAAGCACACAACCACCTGTGGTGGAGGAAATACTACAATGACGTGTAAAATTGTGCCACAGAACCCTTCATGAAAATGATCTTTAAAAATGCATTATGTTCCTTCTTACCAAAGGAAGAAGTGACAATTCAAATATGCCCAACTCTGAGTTGCTGCCCTTTGTCCAGAATTTATGCAGTCAAGTTAACCATCTCTGCATGGGACATAGCACCAAGTGGCCGGAAAACATCTTCAAGTCTGGTAAAGGCAATGTTGGTGTCATGTGTGTATTTTATTTCAAGACAAATGTAGTTTAGATTCCTCTCCTACAAATGTAGTATGTCAGAGAATCAGATGGACAGTTTTATCTGAATATTTTCTGAAGCTCTGTTTCTAGAGAACATACTTATAGGAATAGCTCCTCTAGAGAGTAGAATGGATTTCTTTGAAGTGCCTCTAACTGGAAATGTTGTACAACTCTCAGGCATTTTGTGGAAAGGTTACAAGCATCAGCTAAGGGTTGGACAGAAGAGTTATGTGCATGAATGAAGTGGAGCTGTGGGAACCATAATTTGTGCATTTGGGCCTGACTATACTAAATGAGACATTATATAACAGATTCTAGGTTATATTTGTGCTAGGATAATTTTGCAGTTATTAAAAATGCATAAACATCATAATTACTGATATTGTATAGGCCCTTATCCCTTGGTCTATTAATTCTATTTTTAACAGTCCTAGGTTTGATTTTGAGGGGTGACTATTATCTTTTCCACTTTTTGTACATAGATATAATATACTGCCATGTTACAGTAGACTGCAAGTCCAGACTTGGATCATAGTCCTAACTAAACTATTTTGGCTAACTGTTTAAAAGGTCTGAATTTTCCTTCACATGTAAATGAGGTTGCAATGGTTGAAATTTTTTAAGGTTTTCCAAAGTGTTTATAATTTAGGAGTTTATTAATTTAAGAAAGGGTGTTTCTTACTTGCTAAAGATGTGGAAATAAGACATTAGTCTTCAGTTCAAAATCCACACCAATGATAAATGATTGTAATGTGAGATGGCAAAAAAAATCAGTAATTTTAAAAACTAGGACACTTGTGATTTCAGCTGACTTGGACTATCCCCATTCTTCTCACATACTTCATTTTACCAGTAAAAATCCCTGGATATTGCACAAGAAACACACACAAATGCTCTGAAAGGTACAAGGAAGCATTGTCAAGCTGTTTATGTTTCATGAGATTTGAGGAACAATATAGTGATGAGATTTTTGGCTTCCCTCATATCTTTGATGGGGTACAGAGAAGTCTGCAGTCTTATATAACCAACAGGAACCAACAGGAACAACAACAAGAAAAACAAAACCTAAACAATGTTTTAGTGAATTAAGGCCTTTTGCATTACATACTGTTTTCTCATTAATAAGCAAAATTAGAAAGATGCTATTTCTGGGGATTGTACTTACATTTAGCAGAGTGTGGCAAAGTAAAACAAGTCTATACCACCTTGTCTGTACCTAGAGTGTCTTAATTTTATACCTCAGCTGTGATGTGGTGAGTCCATCAACTGAATTTCTTTAAAATCATATAACCCTGAAGAGAATAGTATCCTCTTTGACTTTCATTTTTGTAGTCCGATTTACTAAAAAGTGTGACAATCTACCAAGGTCAATTAGTGAATATGTACTTGAATCCTAGAAAGCAGCTTCATATTATATTTCATTGTGTAACTAACACATAGAAGTCTAACCAGTTTTTTTAAATTGAACTTTTAATTTATTTTTCATGACACTGGGGTTTGAACTCATGGCCTCGGGCTTGCTAGCAGGCATTCTTACCCCTTGAGCCACTCCACCAGTCCTAAAATTGAACTTTTAAGTGTTAGGGTGTTTTTAGCTTCCTTGTATTTTTTTCCTTTTATTTTTACAACTGAAATATTAAACCTGCTTTTGTTTAGCAGTCAAACTCTGAAAATGTTAAAAGACTTAGAATTAAGTGATTTGAAATAATGTTTCAAATAACTATGAAAATAATGAAAAGTACCTAAACATGGAACAGAATTTAGAATTCTGTGAAAGGGAGCTGGTGTCCTCTGAGTTGATGTCACACAGCCCATGGCATAATTGTGGGAGTTGGCACACCCTGCGAGTTCTGGTAGAACACTGCTTCCACATGTGAGCTCTTCAGCTTGGCTGTTAATCACTACTAACAGGGATGATTGGATCCCTCTTTCTCAAATTTTAAGGTTGAGAAATACTTGATAAAATATCCTGTTCCGTAAAGCTTTTTTCTTTTATTTTCTTTTTTATACAGTTGTCCTTACACTGGAGCTGGATGGTTTAACAATAGTAAGTATGCTTGGCAGTCAGATTCTTTCTCCTGGCTCACTGATCCCCAATTTTAGAACGTTAGATTAAGCAAACTGCTTATTAAAGACAAATTAGTCTACTAAAGAGTCAGAAGGAGGAACAAGAGGCTACTAAAGAATCTGGTTCATGGTTTGTGGAGGCCACTCCCCATCTCAGGCTGAAAGGGGTTGGCTGGAAGTTTCCAGAATCCTCCTTAAACCTGAGATGATATAACCCAAATGTCACTGGGAGAATTGAATTTTTTTTTCCCTAAAACACTCACTTTCAAAATAGCTTCTCACATTCTCAGTATTTTTGGATAACATTTTGACAAAAAGTAATTCCCTTAGTCCATAAAATGTTTTTAAACTTTATATACAGCAAAGGTCAGTTTCAACTGAGCATGAGTCTAGCTCAGGAGACCCAGGCTTCAGGAGTCAAACCACTATCTCAGTACAGGCCTGTTGGCTATTTAAGGATGAATCACCACCTGTGAGAGGTAGCTGCTTTCCACTCTCTGTTCTTCTAATCTTCTGTTCTCTGGACTTTATATCTGAGTTCCTTTCCATCCACAAATAAAACCTCTAACCTACCCTGGGCCAACTTAGGCATAAGGATCTGTGTTTGGGGGTCCATTCTTCCTCCATGGAGGAAGCTGTGGAGGTGGCTAATGGCTGTGTGGGGAGGGAGGCCACCTTCACTGCTTGTCTGCCCTTCTCCACCCAGGCATGAAAAATGTTTGATCTCAAGACGAAGATTATGATTGGTATTGTTAGCGGCTTACTGATTGCTGCAATCGTGCTGATAGGCATTGTCTTCTGTCTTTACTTCAAAGTATCCAAGGCACTGAAGTGAGTCATGTGGGTAAAAGCAAAGCAACCTCCTCAAATAGGACACTGGGCATCTCTGCTTAGCAGGGTCATTCCTTGTTTCAGTGGCCACACCCTGGGTGTGATCAAGAGCCACAGGCAGGTTTGAGAAGGCAAAGGAAGTTTGGTGCAGAATCTTGGGGGTTTTTTCCATCTGGCTTGGGGTTGTGAGCTCCTAAGTAGAATGGTCTCAGCCTGGAGGCTGTGTGTGCCAGAACACACAGTGACTGTGCTGTCACTTGACCTCACTGGGTTTACCTTCAGATGTTTAACAGCCCCTTAGCAGAGACCCCACTGTCCTGGACTCTATAGATTGAACCATCCATGAGCTCTGCCTTAAGCATGCAGAGGACAGCCACACTGACTTCTCAGCTGAGTTGGGAGCTCTCAGAATGTTCCCTCATTTGTTGCTGGTGGCCTTGGGGGGACAGTGAGTTAAGCCAATAGAACAGAGCCCCCATAGAGGACAGCTGACAAAGTTTTGTAGACCATAAGAGAGATGTTTGAGTTTAAAAGAGAGGAGCCTTAAGTATGGGAGAGAATGGCTGTCGGCAGCAGTGGTGTCCCAGGTCTAGAGAGTCAGATGGAGCCAGGAGCCTCTGCAGTTCATCTGTCCCCTATAATTCCTGCATCTTGAGGGCCTGCAGCAGTTAGCTGAGTGATCCCTGCTTGCAATTCATGCTTCCTTCCTTTGAATCCAATTTTACATGCATAGCAATTGTAGGAAAGGAAGGGGTGAGAGAGGAACTCAGCCCAGTCAGAGAACTTGAATCTAGGGCTCGTGTCACATATATGATTGGCTCCAACCTTACACTTCCCAGATAGCTCTGACAAGTGTAGGAAACCCACTAAAAAGAAAAATCCTAAGCCCCTTGGTTTATGTATATCTTTTCTTAAGACTTGTAAAGGAACCTGATGCCGTGGTGACAAACTGTAGCAGTGGAGACAAGCTCATCCAGGACAAGGTCATCCCTGCCAAAACCAACACAACTGAGTCTTGTCCTGCAATCCAGTGCTGTGATGAATGCAGCCTGTATGCAGATGTGGACCCCCTGCCACCTTGCTTTTGTAGCCCAAATGAGGGACTCTGACATGGAAATGGTGGGCATAAAAATCTTCATCAGCAATATTTCTTTCTTGCTACAATGTTTTATTATTCAAGTCAATTTCCAAAGTGTTTATATTCTTATATACTATCTAACATGATATTTATGTACTTTTATATAAATGTACAATAATGAAAATAATCCTCTCTGTTTCCAGTTGTTGTTAGTGGTTATGAATGCCTTTCATTTAAATTTTTTATTATCTATCTTGGGACGTGAGGCAGTTAGCTTGTATTAATATTATATTGCAATAAAGCTGGTGAGTTACAGTAAAAATTAAAGAGGGCATGGAAACAGTTTAACAAGGTGTATCATTATGCTAAATGCTTGGGTTTTATCCATAAAAGCATTTAAAAACTATGTTTCAACTGAAGCTTCCTAGCAGCCTAGGCAAAAAGAGAAACACAGTATCTCACAATAAAATGAACTGTCCCCTAGTGCTAAATTCTGTTTGGATTTAATTACATGAGCCCTCTCTTTGAGAGTGAAAAAGTGTCTTTTCATCTGGGTTTTACAAAGATTCCTACCAGTCTTCAAACTTTGAATACTATCCATCCAGGCCCTGAAGCACTAACTTGCCTCTGAGAACACAGGGTTTCAGAGACCTATCCCCCTGTGTGCCACACTGGCCTCTTCTCATGGTAGTTGCCAAGGCCAGGACAAGGTGCTCAGCAGGATAAGAACCTGACGGTAAAGAAAAGAACCCAGGGAATGAACATGGTGACTTATGCCTTGAATTCCAGCTAGGCAAGATGCAGAGATGGGAAGGATTGCAGTTCAAGGCCACCCCAGGGGGCTGCGGGGGAGTGCGGAGAAGGACGTTAGTAAAACTCTAAGTCAATAATCTGGGCATGGTGGTGGTGTCTATATAGTATAATAGGAGGTCTCAGCCCCAGGCAAAACCATGAGACCCTATTTGAAAATTAAGTAAAACAAAAAGGGCTAGGAGTGTGGTTCAAGTGGCAGGGCCCTGAGTTCAAACTCAAGTACCACTAGATACATATATAGATGATAGAGATATAGATAGATAGAAAGATAGATAGATAGATAGATAGATAGATAGATAGATAGATAGATGATAAAGGTGGGGATCCAAAAACAGTGCAAAAGGAGCTATGGAAGAGGCATAGATATGAAGCCCAAGCAAGGGACTCCTGGGCTTATGTAGTCTGAGATCCAAGCAGCTACTGTCACAGAAATGCAGGTCAGCAGGCATCAGAGCATTTACAACCACCCAATGTAGGTATCAGTCATAGGACAGGATACCTGACAAAATAACAGACATAGGTGCAAGTCCTTGTGGGTGTGAATTACAAAGAATTTCCCACTGAGAGAAGGTCAGCTCTGTAATAGGAATTCCTTCACAAAGTTCAGCTCCCTGATCCTGACCCCAGCTGTGGCCCCCTCCCTCCCTCTCTCCCTCTCTTGGACCTCCAGCCTCCATCATGCTCAACAATCCGGAATAAGCATTAAGTATGGATTGCCAGTGTGGTGTTTATTACATAGGATACAGACAGAAAACAAAAACAAGTCCCTTCTTCCATAAATTACTTGTGGGACAGGGAGAAGGCCCTTGGGCTGGCTCCTTCCAAAGCATTTGGTCACATTCTGTAGTTACAAACTAAAGCACTTTTAGTAACATGAAAAGCAGACAGACAAAAGCCAGCTCAGTCTAAAACACTGTGGATCCCACAGTGTATAGGCTATGGTTCCTGAACTCAAGCTAAGTGTCTGTTCTGTTCACAAGGCAAAATCATGACTGGAAACCTTCAAGCTAAATGAGATTCAGGCTTCAAGAGAGCCAGAAGCAAAAGATGTGGGGACAGGGTGGAAGGGGTGGTTAATGTGGGGGGATGATCAATGGGAACAGAGGAGGCTTCCCTGGGGAGGAAACAGTTTCCCAGGGTCAGCAGAAAAGAGAAAGGAATGGCTTAGGCAGTCCCAAGTGTTGATGGTAGTGAAAGCTGGGGAGGTCTCAGAGATAGAAGAACCAGATGGAAACCTCTTCCCACTGTTTCAAGGTTCTTGTCTGAAAAAGAATTGAGAGATAAGGAATTAAGAGGAAGTCTTAATACAGTGCAAAAGGAAACGCTCAAGAGGAAGTATAAAGCAGATACCTTAAATGCAACTGAGGCCAATAGGAAAAGGGGAACAGGTACTAGAGAAAAGGTTAGATCAAAAAGAATTAACCTAGAAGGTAACACCCACGCACAGGAAATCAATGTGAGTCAATGCCCTGTATAGCTATCCTCATCTCAACCAGCAAAACCCTTGTTCCTTCCTATTATTGCTTATACTCTCTCTACAACAAAATTAGAAATAAGGGCAAAATAGTTTCTGCTGGGTATTGAGGGGGGGAGGAAGGGGGGGAGTGGGTGGTAAGGGAGGGGGTGGGGGCAGGGGGGAGAAATGAACCAAGCCTTGTATGTGGGCTTTATACTAAATCTGGGAGGCGCGGCATGAGTCTACATAGGTTATCTTTTACTAGGAAGAATTGACAAGGAATATTTCATTTCTTTATGTTAGGGTTCAGGTTAGAAGGTCAGTCATGATGTAGTTGAAGCTGTTTTTCTTTCAACACAAATCCCAGTTTTATATTACTGATTCCATGACTAGATACTGTATGGTTTATAGGATGTAAGTTCCTGTCTTTTGTATTTCTTCTTGTTTCACTTTAAGTTCTTCCCTTTGACCCCTTTCTGCTCCCAAGTCAGTTCCTATGTCACAAAGGAGCAGCCAAGAATCAGAGATAGAGGGGATGGGAAGCTGGTGGGATTGGAGAGGTGAGTCAGACTGAAATGATGACAGCTTCAAAGGCCATGCTTTGGAGCATTGATCTCATCCTGCAGACATTAGAGAACCTCAGTTGATAACCTTTGGCCCTGAGGAACTCCATCAAGTCAAAGATGGATCCCAATACTCCTGTATGAACAAATATTCCCTTAACTAATTGCCCAGCAGCTCTCACATGAGCGCCGAATCTAGCTCCAGATCCCATTCTGGGTTCATCTGACAGAAGCAATTTAAGCTTTCCAAGCATCATTTTACTTCTCTTCAAATGAGAAGACTAGCACTCACCCCATAAGGATATTTTCAGACGTCAATGAGATGTTGAGGAAAAAAAGATGAACAAACAAGGTAAAAAAACTCCTTCCTCCTCAAAGGATGGTGTGTGTTAGTCAGCTTTAAGTCACTACAACAAATATCTGGGGTGATCAACTTATGAAGAGGCCAAGTTTACTTTTGGTTCATAGTTTTGGAGGTTTCAATTCAGATTATGGCCCTATTGCATTGAGTCTATGACTGCACCTCATAGTGGAGGAATGTGACAGAGCAAAACCTCTCAGTTCATGGCCAGGGAGCAAGATCTGAGGTCCCATGATCCCTTTAAGTGCATGTCTCCAAAGACATGAAAATATCCCACCAGGCCCTATCAAAGATTCCAGCACCTCCAAATAATATCATGGCCTGGGGACCAAGCCTTTTAACACACAGGACTTTGGGGGACATTCTAGATCCAAACTATAGCAGGTGCAAGGAATTGTCACCATCCCAAGTCATCTATCAGCAGAATATTTAGTAAAGTGGTTTGATATTTTATGCTCTAAAACATCACATGCAAGCAACACAATGTTTTGATTCTATTAACTTATATCCCTGCTGTAATACATTAACATTAAACTTAATCCTTAGCATAAATCATCACATTTACATTAATGATTTATTTTTACAATTACATTTTGTGAATGAGTTGAAGGGTACAACGCTCACAGCAATGCTAGAGAACACATTCCATACATGTTCGCCATTACCAGGAGCCCTAGAATAGTGCAGTACATTCTGTGTGAAATGACCTGTGTCTGCACCAAATGATATCACAGCCACTACCTGCACAGTAGCTGTAATTGGTGCTTCAAAATTACTTTTTGCTGAGAAATACTGACTCCTAACTTAGGCCCAGGAATTAACTGAAATCAGGATAAAAGCTAGGTACCTCAGCTCCAAAATGCATCTGTGTCCTTCAATATGAGCCAATCTCTCCTGCAGTCACTTTGCAGCCATCTTGGAATCCAGGAAGAACTGGACCACTTACCAGGTGTGTCAATGACTCTTATTGTAACCAATCTTGAGACAATGAGCTACCAGACCACACCTGTGACTGGACTGTTTATATATACCTTCACGTCCTGTCCACAATTCTTTTTTTTTTTATCAAACATTTTTTTAACTCAGGATGTATTAATTATCCGGGAGGGGGGGTTGGTGATTCATATGACAGTTCCGATTAGTCTTATATTGTACATTATTTACATGGCCCCATTGTCTCTCCCTCTCAGCACCCCCTACCCCACTTAAAGCAATTGGAAGAGGTTTTTTAGTTCTATTTCATATAGGTATATGAAGTTCATCAACCATATACTGTCACCTTAATCTCCTTCTTTCACCCTTTCCCCTCCCATTAGTACCCACCCACCCACACACACTGCCCATTTAACAGTCCTGGTTTTCATTATTAGTATTTGAGCTGATGTTTAAAGGGGTGTCTCAGTGTATGCCCTCTGTGGGTGAGCTTTACTTTGGTCTTTTCAATCCCTTCAAATACTCTCCCTTACCCCTCTACTTCCCACCCCCTGTTTTTCAACAGCTTTCAATACACATCCTTATGTCTTCTACCTTCACACCCCGATGGTATGTGGTATTACTGATGCTCTATCATTCTCTCTTCCTTTCCCTCTTTCCCTGAGTTCCACAGAGTAGTTCCACTGTTACAAACATGTTCTACATCTGAGTTTGTATGTGATCATGCTTGTTTTTGTGTATATGTTTATCTTTGGATCTATTGTCCACGTATGAGAGAAAATATGCATCTTTTGTTTTTCTGATCCTGGCTAACTTCACTTAACATGATGTTCTCCAATTGTGTCCATTTACCTTCAAACCCCATGTCATTATTCCTTGTGGCTGAGTAATACTCCGTTGTGTAC